TAATGTCAGGGAGGGGGCCGGGGGGGGGTGTCCCTCAGTCCAGCCTGCACCCTCTCACAATCCGGGACATCTCTCTCATAATCGGGACTGCTGGCTCCTAACCACTCACCTGCCTGCCTGATTGGCCCCTGCCACTGCGGCTTCGTCCGAAAGGTCGTTTGGCTGTCCGGTCTAATTAGCATATTACACTTTTATTATTATAGATATTATAGATATATATTCATATATATAAATATCCATATATATAACTCTATATCTATATCTATTATTCTATATCTATTCTATATCCATCCATCCATCCAAAGTGAAAGAGAATGATAAAGAAAACAGTGGAATGTTAACATTTGGAAAATTATATACATATTTTATATATATAAATGCTTTGTACCATTCTTGCAAGTTTTCTGTAGAAATTATTTCAAAATTAAAAGGACATAATAGTAGATGTTGCTGCTGTCCATAAGTTTCCTAAGTAAACTGTTGTTTCAACAGTTAGAATTATTAAAAACTTTTGAAATGAATTTCGTGGGTCCAAGCCAAAAATAAAAAATAATAATAAATGAAAGGGAAGGGAAGGGAAGGGAAGGGAAGAGAAGGGGAATGGAAGGGGAAAGGGAAGGGCAGGGGAAGGTGGATTAGATAATTGTAGATTAGGGTGATTGCTATTTCGTGAAACCTTTGTTTCAGTTCTCTGAAGGGGCAAAAGTGGATGCCCTGAGTTGCACAAAAAGTTGGAAAGCCACTGCACTGAGGGGTGGATTTGAGCTAAGGACTGACGTCCCAGTTCCTCCTTCTGCCCGCCCCGCCGGCACGGGCGTCCCGCCCCCGGGCAGCCGGCAGGTGTGCGCGCAGAGCTAGCACGTGGTGTCAGACTCTATTTAAGAGCCCACCTTCCCTCGCTTGCAGCTGCCGCCGGTTCCAGCCCTGCCCTCCCGGAGCTGCCAGAGGCTCGCGGGTCCCGGACACATCCCGCCGCCGGGGCTGCCACCGGGGCATGGGTGCCGCGGGCCTGCTCTGGGTTTCCTTGGCTCTCATCACGCCGGGGGTGCTCGGTGAGCTGGGAGGGGGAGCACGGAGGTCGGGACGCGACTGTCTGGGTCAGGGGAGGTCTCTGCGCCGCCATGCAAAGCAGAGTCCAAAGCGAGAAGGCGGGGGCAGTGCCAGACGCTTGCCTGCCTCCCGCTCGCTCTGGGGGGACCCCCGGGATCTCTTGGTCCTGAAGGTGCTCACTCTAGGTCCCTGGGGCTGGGACCGCCGGACCTGGAGACTGCACTGCAGAGGGGTAGGGGGGGCACTGTGTGATCTACCTGGGGAGGCGGTGGCGTGCACTCGGGGTGCCTCTGGCTCCCCCCGCGCCTGTCTCAGCAGGTGCTTCTCGCTCTCAGACCGGAGGTCTCAGGGCCACGCCGCACGTTCCACGCTCCACTAGGCGTGGGAGTTTCTGCAGCAGCTAAATCCGCTCCTGCCCAGTAAAAGCAGCAGGTCCTCCCGCTGCCTTCCCTGAGTAACAATAACGCCTAGTGCCCAGGCATGGTTCCCACTATGTATTTATTTATTTTTGACTTGTAACATTGGTAACGAGATCCTAGCCTTTAAACTCCTGGAGTTACTTAGGAAACGTGAGACATGAATTCAAGCTAGTTGTCCTGATGCTATTTACCTTCTGTCATGGTGAGGGTGCCAGGAGATCTCATTGAATTTTATTGGTACCACTTCCAACCCTCAAGAGTGGCATAATTTAAAGAGATGTTTTAATTTTTTTTTAAGATTAGAGTCTCCTGGAGAGAAGATAGGTCTAACTACCTCCAGGGTACAGTGAATTCCTAGTTTATTGAGACGCTCGTTGTAGGCAGACCTCAATAACTGGGTGACTTTGGGCAAGTCGTGTAGCTCCCTGATCCTCAGTTTCCTCATCTGTGAAATGATGCCAGTGATAAAACGGACTTCCGGAACTGCCCTGAGTAGCAGGTGAAAATTGGCAAATGAGAGTGAGGTGTTAGCTGTTACTACTAAATATCAGTAATAAGGCTGCACCGCATGAACCGTTCTTATGGAGCCAGCATTTAAGCTTCGCCACCTCCAGCTTAAGAGCAACCACAGAAATTGGTTCTATTACAACAGATTTTGTCTGCTTCCTGACATTTAACTTTCTCCTGACCATCAGCTCCCTTTGAATGTACCTTCACAACTTTCCCTAACCCCTCTCTGAGGCACAGTTGCAGACCTGACTTCTCAGCAGCATGGCATTCCCATTTCTAAGTTTCAAAGAGGTTATTATCAATTGAAAATCGAATTCTTCCCTAGCCCTGCCAATTCATCCTTTCTTCCAAGTAGGCCAGAGCATCCCCTCCCAGTACCAGAGTAAGACCCTCCTATCGCTCAATTCCAGACACAACCTCCTCTCTTACAGGCCACTCTGATCTCTGTCCTTACTTTTTCCAATAGTGAAAATAGAATTTTGA